GGAAATCGGTGGTACATTGGATCTTGGCTGACAGCTCTATAGAAGGGTATTCTACGGCTCTTCAGCCAGGCTACGAAACGAAGGTAGGCATTTGCATGTGGACGAATGAATTCGGCATGAATCGTCTTTCGGATTGGCTCTTTTAGATTACTGTTCCTCCAAAATCATCTACGCTGATCATTGAGACAAAGTTGCACTCGAATTTAACGGCTAGCCTGTTCTCTCCGCTTCACGTTCGCCTGTTAAGGCATTCACGTTGAATCTGTGTAGTTGTCCTTAAGAATGTATTAAAGTGAACGTCCAGTAATCAGTCGGGAACCGATTTCATGCTTAAACCTACTAACCAGTTTCCCACAGCCGTCAATAAAAGCTAAGTTGTCAGTGTAATAGACGGACCGGATGACTGAACATGTTCACAACATTTTGAATTTTATCCCTCTAGTCATAGCAGGCTGAGAATTTTCCCTTAAAAATTTGTCCCCCAACTCTCTCCTCCTTTTATTTACTGATGAATTACAAACAGCCTGTCTTTTTGGGTGACGAACCCCATTTTGCATAACAGATCCTACGAAGTTTGATAAGTTTCTCGGGGACAGTGAAAGCAACTAGCACCGCGTAAAGGTCACTGAGACTCCACCGGTGGCTCGCATCGCTCTAATTTCTTAAAAGAGCTCAGTCCCGGAAACCAAAATCGGCGTACTTCAAACGGCCAATGAATTCAGGCTCAAAATAATGAAATCGTAGTAAATCATAAAAGAACTACAGTAGGCTTCAATAATTTTGTCTTCAAGGTTGTGTGCTTCTCGGACTTTCAAGAGAAGTATTCCCCTTTGCTTTTTAGTCCGGCAGTAGTCGCAATATCAGTAACACTGTTGATTGTGCTATTTTGCGGTTTTTGACCCTAATCTCACAGAGTTTCATTAGAGCAGTGGTATATAGGCTTGTAATCATGCCACTACAGACATTTTTTAGAACTGAACTCCCTATCTGACAGAAACTGCACCGAGGGTGTCAATAAAACTTACAGGTTCGCCAGTGTCTTACCTGGCGCCGTCTATTTGTGTGGTTGTGGGTACCTAGGAGTCTGACACTGACGCGTGCCGAGGCGATCGTACAATTTACATTAAATCACAGTACTTACTAGGGCTTCTAAAGACCCTGTGCAAAATAAAAACGGCTTGATATGGAGAGATTAAAAGTGGTCGTCATATGCTTGTAGAAGTATGCAAATGGGCCTTGAAAATCGGGCGGAAGGTCACATGCTGCTTCATCACGGAGTTCTATGAAGCCGTACGAAGACATACTGGGTGGGGTACAGGCTTGGGGAATCTCGAAGTTTATAAAACCTTCCGAGGATCATCACAGAAAATAGTAGTGATCTATTTCGGAATCGACTGCTCTCTAGCTAACTCTATGGACTATGCTTATAGCCTGGATAATTCACTTGTTTTTGGTATGTCTACTCTTA